GGTGGAACCGACCTTCGAATCTCTTCACCCAACACTTCTACTCGAAATGGAAGTAATCCCAACAACTAAAAGTATGAAGACCAAGATGGTGTGGTCTTTTTTATGGTCGCAGTCTCCTTCCACTGTATAGAATTTTTTTCTTGGTAGTAAGACTTATAGGAAACGCACCTTGTCCTGAGTCCATTTTATGCATAATTATTTCCAAAGTCGGACCGTGGACGCGTTACATTCCCAAATAGACCTTTCGTTTATATTTAAATTCACATAGCCTGGTCTCGTAAAATATATTCTCATCCTAGTACGAACGGACTGCGGTTTCGACCTCGTCTAGGTCTCGAACCATGACAATGCGGCGTATAATCTGACACAGTAAACACTACACCACACTGCAACAAGGGTCCATTAGGTCAGAGGGCAGCTGTGAATTTCAAGGTAGACCAAAAATTCTCCTCGCATAGCACATTCTCTGGTGGGAGTGTGGATGAAGGAAAATTGTATTTGCCGTTGCAATGGACAGCACAACTTAATTTTCGTTTATAAGTAGTATTTTGAGACTACCAGAAGACCATAAATATGAATTGTATTCAACCTATTTCGTTTAACGTGATAAGGTGACTGGTCTACTCATGTTGTTGTGGGAAAATAGAAATACCGGCCCTGAGATACAAGTGTGATGTGCACTTACATTTCAGAGGAAAAGCTGATAGGAAGGAAGATCAGCTCTGAGTAGAGCTTAAAGGTCATTGACTCATCATCTGTGACTCTTTCTCTTTCTCTCCCTCTCTATCAGTTCGCACTTTTGTACCGTGACTGGTACGGAATCCTTACAAATCTGTCTAATGATAGTTTGCTTGCCTACTTACTCGTTATTTATTAGTTTGCGCGAGTGTAATTGTTGATACAAGTTGGCCTTTTCCACAAAATTCCCACTCTTGAAAATGTGAATTGGCTTGCATTGAAAGTCGCATCTGCCCTACGATGCAATGATGCTGGCGGACGAGACGATGAGGCGATGCGAGCTCGAACCTGCAGCCGAGTCTGCATGAATTGGGCTTTTGGAAGCAAGGGCTCGTGAGGCCTTCATTTCACCTCAAGCGCCCTGAGGGGTGACTTAGTGAGACTCATATTCTTCGTGTTTTGAGGAGAGTTTCGAGACTACCAGTAAATCAGTAGTATGAGATGTTTTCAGCCAATTTCGTTTAGGGTGATGAAGGACGACTGGCAGTAGGATTTTCCCATAATCTGATGAGTAGAGCTAACGTCTCGAAACTCTACTCAAACACGAAAAATAAGTAACCTAGTCGATTGTTATGGCAAATATACGTTTGCTTCATCGACAATCCCACCAAAGAATGTGACATGAAATTCACATCTGCCCTGTGACCCAAAAGTACTCGCGGCAATGTGGTCGAGTGGTTAAAGTCTCAAGCTCCCATTCTGCACTGTCAAGTTTTGAATCCCGCTGTAGGTGTTGATAAGAGTTATTCGATGTGGAAACTGCAGTTCACTTCGGTCGGGATGAGAACAACTTTTGGGAAAGCAAGGCTATGTAAAATTCACTCGAAATTTCAACTCGTCTCATATCATTGTGTGAAAATTCTACTACCAGTCCTTCATGGCCTTAAACGAAATAGGGTTAATTCATCACATATTACTGATTTACTGGTAGTCACGAAAACAATACTTAATTCCAAAAAAATAAATTATAGTAGTCGATTTTTCAATTTACATCATTGTGGGAAAATTCTTCATCTACCAGTTCTTCATCACCCTAAACGATTTGGGTGAATACATCTCATTCTACTGGTAGTCACGAAGACAATACTTAATTCGAAAAAAAATAAAGTATAGTTGTCGATTGTTTAATTCACATCAATGTGTGAAAATTCTACTACCTTAACCTTAAACGAAATAGGGTGAATTCATCTCATACTACTCATATTCTTGTTTGGGTTTTTGGGGTTTTGCTATTTAGAGGGCTCATTTGAATGCTGCCAATGCTCATCCCCTTTTCAGCCGGCGCCCGACTTGGAAGCGATGAGTCCAGTTGCCGACCGGGTGAGGGTGAACGGCAGACAGGCGACCGGACACCGAGTAGGCCCGGGACGCGCCAAGATACCGGAGCGGTACGTGAGTGAACAGTCGCTGGAGAGGTACACGGAGACGGCCGAGCCCGCGTTGTTTGGCGAAGCCGAGTCTCGAGGGGTGGGGAAGAAGAGTCGCGTGGCGGCGCCTCAGTCATCTGCTCGTGCGGCCAGATCGCACTCCCTTCAGCCTCTCGAGTCTGGCGGCGCCGACCGGCCCGCCCCCCGAGATCGAGTCCCTTCGACTGGTGAGCGCCAATGCCCGAGTCCGGAGGCGTCGACCGCGGCACTCGGACTGCCCCCGGACCGCGAGTTGGCCCGACAGGCCGACGTCGACCCGGCCTCGATCCGCCATTTCTACGTGAAGCGGCTCAACGGCAGTCTTGGATTGAGCATAGTTTCTGCGAAGGTAAGCGACTCCCTTTCGTGTTGACTTCACTTTCATTTCGCATGAAAGTGTGCTTGGTGAAGAGACTCGAAAGTGGATCCCGACAGAAGACACATCACGTCAGCAAACACATGAAGGCATTTGAATACACACAAACAGACACACTAAAGTGCTTCTTGATTGATACACAACTTGAGTGTCGTGGAAATTTTCATTTTTTATTAAAGTACATGATGAAGCGATTCTTGAGCCGATCTCATCAGAAGAGAGCGGCTAATTCCCGTTCCACTGTAGCTGTTTAACTTTAATATGACGTACAGGTTGATGCAGTCCATAAGACATAGTTTGTCGTTTCGGTTGAGAAACCAGCTGACATTTTGGTCGGCATGCCACATGACAAACATCTTCGGAGTCAACACAAAGTCAAGAAGACAGATCGGCTCTCTCCTATCTTATATATGAATACATAAATAAATAAAAGTTAGATATAGATAAATATAGAAAAGTTTGGTTAATTTTCTCATATTCGAATATGTCTCTGTGTGTGTGTGTGTATATGTTGATGTCTGTAGGCAGAAGCTAGAGTAATTAGAAAACATCTTCATGTCAACTCCGGGTCATCGAGGCTCAATGAGCCGAGGAAAAAAGGAAAAAAAGGAAAAAAAGGAAAAAAGGAAAAAAGGAAAAAAAAGAAAAAAAGGATTACTTTGATCTGTAAGTAACTCTGGTCGAATTGATGAGATGCAAGCCTGTACACGTGAAAGTCAGGTTACGAAACAACCAGTCCGAACCTTTTAGTTCTGGTTATGAAGGATTAATGAGCCAAGGAGAAGCTTGGCAGGGATGGCGTAGCCCCGCATGTCTGCTGAACAAGAGTGAATTTGGGTACAACCCACCGTTCAGCTGACAAGTTGAGTCGTTTTATTTTGGCCAGCAGCTCTCCAGCCTCTCTCTCTTTCAGTCTTTCAATCAAACCATATAACCCCTGAGAAGAAAAGTTAGCTTTAAAGGAATCTCTTCTTTCATAATTGTTTAGCTTATTTCGATTTCGAGTGAAATTGTTGAGTAAAGAG